TTTTCAAATCTCGGGACCAGGTCCTTGCACCTATCTAGTACATAACATACTTCGTTCTCTAGTGGGTTCGGTACAATGGCTTTAGGGCCGCAGAGCGTACTCTATGGGGACATGGACCCAAGAAGCCCTCGTAGTCAGCCTTATGTAACCCAACACAAAAAGCATCTAGAACCCTTTGATGATGCTCTAGTGGAACCTCCGTCTATACTCGCACAAGGACCCTCTGGATTGAGGATAAGCATGGAATTAAAGTTGGTTCTGTGTATACTACAGTATCGTAATTATAAAGAAGCCCTAAACTCTAAACCCTATCGTAATTGTATAAGGAACCCCACCGTACATTTCGTTTACTAAATACCCTTTTAACTGTACCCTAAACCCCAAACCCTAAACCCTAAGCCCTAAAGCCCTAAGCCCTAAACCCTAAACCCTAAACCCCAAACCCTAAACCCTAAACCGTTTCTATGGCATTCGGGTGGCTGGCTCGAGCTGCCACTCGGCTCGGCACGCTGCAGAAACCTCGCTGCAACTACTACAGGTAGGGTTTAGGGTTTAGGCTTTAGGGTTTAGGGTTTTAGGGTTTAGGGTTTAGGGGCCTCAATACTTACCAACACTATTTTGTAGGGTTTAGGGTTTAGGGTTTAGGGGCCTCAATACTTACCAATACTATTTTGTTGGGGTTCCTTATTAAGAGTATAGTATAATATACCCCAAAACCCTATTCTAATTAGAAGGGTTCCGCGCTCGATTGTCGGCTTCGGGTGCAGGGTTCAAGTGTATCTTAGACTTCAAACATCGGCTTAGGGTTTAGGGTTCAACTGTGGGTTTATATACCTGAAAAGCCAAGTAGCCCAAAATATCAGACTAATTACACTACCCTAAAGTAGCCCATAAATTGGCTCAAAGTAGCCCCTAAATACAGACTACTGGCTTTCCGGGTAGGGTTCAGGGTTCAAGTGTCGGCTGACAGGTTTGGGGTTCAATTGTCGGCTTACGCTCACACAACTCGGACACGACAAATGAGGCCTCAATCGCCGGTTCAGGGTTCAAGGGCTTGAGGTTGAGGCCATATAGTTTAAAGGCGGTTAGAGTTTATAAACGGTCTCAGGTAGTGCTGCCCAGGTCTAGGGTTTAAGGGATCGTGGTCGGGAGTTCGGCTCCCCGAGCCGGCTCATGTTAAAAATTTAGGGCTTTTGCGATGCGGGGTAGCAAGTTCCACCACTTTCCGGCGGCAGAAGTACTCGGGTGTCATGTTTCGTATGTTCGGACTAGTCATTCTAAGTGCTTTCCGGCTGCAGTCAAGGGTTTAACATTGCAGGGTTTTCACACCCGGGGTCTTGTGCTGGTGGTTGTTGGAGGGCTCGGAATTGCTTTGGGCTCGAACACAACATCCCCAAACAGGGGGATGAACACCCAAACCGGTAAGTTGTAAAACTCATGTCGTTGGCGCTCTTTTGTCTTGGGATTATAAGCTAGATTGCAACTCAAAGTATCCTTGACAGCCTCTTAAAATCCTAAACCCTTGACAGCTTGTTAAGTCTTGAAGGACCTTGGGTTTTAGGGTCGGGAAATCACCGATCTGCGAGAGACCTTTGGGGGCATGGCATCTGCCCTCAAGCGAGGTTTAGGGCTTACCTCTAGTCTCCATTGTAGTTCCTTTTCGGGGTTATCTTTTAGGATCCTTAATATAGATTTGGCTAAGCCCAAAAAAAGGAACTTCAATCTCAAAGGAAATGGGAATTTCCGAAACTTAGAGGTACCCTCTTTTGGGGTCCTTATTACCTTATAATAAGGATCCTACTATTTAGGGTACTATATTAGGGTCCCCCATTTTCGGAAACCCCCAAATCGCCGGAACCCCAGCATCTTAAAATTCCGTGAATCCCAAGGCCCAAGTACAGAGCACTTACAAACATGGACCTCAATGGAGCCCTCCAAGAAATCCTTAAATCGAAAGCCACCGCGGACCGTGGGATAGAATATGTGGGCCTTAAACAATTTTGGTAGCATTGCTCAGTGTTCCGTGATGCAAACATGACATAACAGTGTCCCCAAACTCTAGTCTGGTTACAGCAAAGCTTATAGACCCCATCAAAAGGAACCCTAATCAATTATAAAGGGGTCTATACTACACCGGCATAAATATCTGTACAATAAATGAATATTCATATATAGATAGATAGATAGATAGATAGACAGATAGAGAGAGAGAGAGAGTGTGTGTTTTTATATATATATATAGATATGTGTGTGTGTATGTATAGTAAATCTTAGGGTGACCGTTTGAAGCAACTCTTTAAGAGGGATTCCTGACAGGAACCCTGCTTCAATTATTAAGGCCCTTGAATTACAGGCGAGCAGCGCGTTGCCCCGCACGAAGCGCGAGGGATCCTTGAGAAAATCCTCCAAAAGCATGCCTTGGCAAGGGTTGTTTTGAGGTCTTGGGTTTAGGGTTTAGGGTTTTAGGGTTTAGGTCCCTGTAAGGGTTTAGGGCTTCTTCCTCCTGCCTAGCAAGGACCAGTCGAGCAGGCAACAGCTGAACGATGTTTAGGTTTAGGGCTTAAGCTTTAAGATTTCCTAGAAGGTTGAGGGTTGACGAAACCTAAAACCCTAAATGTAGCATCAATGAATCAAGCCATACACTCTGATCGTTAAAAGCCCTAAAGCCCTAAACCGTGAGTTTGTTGAAACACCATTTAACGAGCCCAGCACCGGCTATAGTTCCCTGAAGCTGACGGTATGCACATGAAGAGCAGGATCACGAGGATGTACAAGAGCGTTGTAGTTCTATAGAGGCTTTGTTTATCATCAAGGTTTGTTTACATGGCTGTGAATATCAGGGCCTCTGCGGGTGTTTGCAAGTTTAAGGTTTTTTGACTACTAAAACTAATTCTTTTCAGGCCAACACCCCTAACCCTAAACATCCCCAAACCCCAAAGCCTCTGACATCCCTGAGCCCCTTCTCTGCAGCTGGCATGCGGTCACCTTTTGACATCTTCGACAGCGCCAGGGATCCTGAGAAATCTCTGAAAGTTCGCATTGGTATAGGATTTCAGCACTCACAACTGGGACAAGGGATAGGGTTTAGGGACTAATTATGTCTAGGGTGGCATTGAGGTTCCGGATGAACGGTTCGGGGTTGCAGGGTATGGGTTTACATGAGGATCAGTTGTAGTTCCTTCTTCAGCTACCATGTTTCCACATTGTAGGGTCCGTTTCATGAAACTGATTAACTGCAGCAGGAGCACAAAAAGAACTTTGCTGGAGGGGCTATGTGCTGTTAAAATTGCTACTCTCCTGTACCTGTATTGTATGCAGGCAAGCAGGCAAATGCCGAAGAGAAGCCAGGTTGAGCATGTTTGACTGACAAAGATTCTCTTTTTCATGGTCATCTTAAAGCGAAAGAGGGTGATGGAGGAAACGAAAGACTTTCCGGGTGTATGGTGCATGTGGCTGAATCTTCATCGCAGTTTGAAGGCAGCACTTCGCCTGTAGGATTGGCTGCCAGGTGGTATGGGGGTTTCCGAAAATAGGGGACCCTAGAACAGTACCCCAAATAGTAGGATCCTNNCTATTTTCGGAAACTCCCATATTGGATCCTAACAACTTCCTCCACCCCTCCTCGCGCTTCCCCAACGCCGAAGGCCCGACTGCAAGGTCCCCAATGCCGTCAGCTCAGGTCCCCTGAACATGACCCAGAAAACCCCAATACCCCTTAACTAAGGAATATGCCTTAAATCATAATAATGAGCCCCCGATCAACTAAGGTATATTCCTTAATTGAGGTGTATTGGGTTCTCTGAGGACACTCCATGCAGCTGCGCAGGCGATGCGTGATGTGGGTGAAGCTTAATTTTTATAGCCTCTTAAACACATGCCACCGAAGCCCCTTTGTCGCTTGGCCCAACTGTTAGCTACAATTGACGACCCAGATCCCGTCCACCTTCCTGGCACCCAGAAAGGCTATTCTAACTGGTTCCCGTTCCCTCGTCTACTGGACCCTAAACACTGAACTGAGTCCTCAACCAGTCTAAACCCTAAACCCCAAAAACCTTTGCACAACACGAAGAACCACCCATCCCGGGCCTCGTCGTTGCAGGGCCTTCGACACGCCTGCAGCCAGCCCAACAATGCTGTCAGAAGTCTGGACCAGGGAAGAGTAGGTCGATTGCCTCGGAGAGTTTCTACGTCTAGGACCCCCTAAACCCTAAACCGTGTCTAGGATTTAGCGTTAAGCTGGCTCAAGATTCTGCCGGCTTTGGGTTTCAGCTGTTTTCGGGCTCAAGGTTCAAGGATTTGGTTATGGTTTCAGGTCAGGGTATACAGGATTTGGAAGTAGGGTTCCCGGTCTCAAACGGCTTATGACGAAATATTCAAGGTCTTGGTCTACGGGTATATAGGGTTTGGGGGTTTACGGTCTCGCATTTGAGAAGTTCCACCTGAACACTGAATCGGGATTGAGAACAGTCCGGGTCTACTGCAGCTTGACCTTCGGAATCGGCATTCTCGGACGCATTTAATCAGGGGTTTAGAATTGGATTTAGGATGTTGTCGGCCTTTGCTTCCACAAGCTTTTCTCAAAGACCCACAGGCCCATAGGGTTTCGGTAATCGGCAAGTCGTTAAGGACCTCTGGGATGTTCGTCCGTGAAGCTCGTAGCCGAAACCTGGACATGGAGCGTGCTCGTCCTAAGTCATGTATTCCCCAACCGTGCTGTTCAACCTTGTGCACTACACATTATGTACACCCCCCCCACCCACACACACACACACACACGCACACACCCTAAACCCTACGGCCTACACACGGGAGGTTAACTCCATAGCCTCAGAGCTTTGGGCTAATACCACAGCTTTGCCTGTGGCCTGTGGTCCTTGTATAGAAATCTGGGCTTAGGCCTGTCTTGTCCCCAGTATGAAGCTCCAGTCCCTTGTGCGCTTTTGCAAAACCCGATAAGACCACCAAAGCAAAAGCTGCCAAGATAGACAAAGCGAAGAAGCATCTCAGACGATGCGCTGCTGTTCAGGGCCTCGGCTTTCATGGTGTGAGGCTTCGGGCGAATGTCCTAAACCCTCAGCTCCCAAAAGCGGCACATTCGGCGCCCCTTCGGGTTTAGGCCTTATACGCTACAGAGGTTGGGGATTTAGGATTCGGGGGTTTGCGGTTTAGGGGTGTAGGGCTTCGGGGGTGTAGGGTTTCGGCACACAAAGGCTTGGGGCTTTAGGGGTGTAGGCAAAACCACTGGGTCTCCAGGACCCGCTTGACCATCCGCCAACGAATTCCTGCGAAGTACGACCCTTTCGCCACCCGTAGGGTTTCGACTCACACCCTCGCTCAAAGCAGGCATGGCATACAGTGTCCGTAGGGTTTAGGGTTTAGGAGGTTTAGGGGGAAATATTTTAAGCCAAGGTCGAGACCCCTAGAAACCCCTAGCAACTTTGAAAGAGCTTTGTAAAGGCTTCTCTACCGGGTTATCGGAGGGGCTTTCGGGGATTTGGGGTTCAAGGGTGTCGGGCTGCGTAGGTTTGAGGGACTTTGGTGTGGGGTTCAGGGTTTAGTATTTAAGGTTTTGGGGCTTTCGTAGCGGGGTTGGGGTGGCGCAAGTATACTGGGAACTTACCAACTCTGTGTCGCCCTACAGTGACAACGAAAGTGCCCCTAAACCCGTAAACCCCAAACCCCCATAAACCCTAAACCCCAAAAAGCCCCTAAACCCTAAACCCTAAACCCCCATAAACCCTAAACCCCAAAAGGCCCCTAAACCCTAAACCTGTAGCCATGAAGCCGTCGATCCGGCATTCTTTCCGTGCGAACCAGAAGCTCTCAGCCCCTTCTTGGACCCTGTAAATAGCCTTCCGTCCTTGGGGGCTTACGGCTTGTAGGGTTTAGGGTTTAGGGTTCCCTACTATGATTTCTTCAATAAGTCCTTAAGCAGGTAGGTTGCTTGGGGTCTTTGTAGCAAGCCTGTACTTCGTGGGGTTTGGGGCGTCTGGATGATTGAAACTCCGTAGGGTGCGAGCCGGGTCTTTGAGGAGTAGATGTGTTTGGGGTCTCCCGGAGAGACAACACCCTGGATTGAAGGAAGCACTTTTGAAAGAATTGGTAATGGCTTCTGGGTCTAAGCGTTCCCTAAATCCTAAACCCCTGAACCTGAAACACTGAACCCTAAGCCCACTCCGGGTTTGAGGTCTACGGAGCTGGGTTCTGGCTGCAGCGTTCCGGATTCAAGGGGAACTTTGCTGAGGTCTCTGCTGTGATGGCACCACCAACAGCTGCCAGCGACTCAGTCCTGAAGAGAGGCATAATAATAAACAACTCTAAGGGTCCATGTCCCTAAACCCATTCGGGCCCCTTTTAGGGCTCCTTAAAGGGATCTATGGGGGGGGTGCTATGTACTATGTGAGTACATGGACACTTAGGGTAATAGCACAATGTAAGGGCCTAAACCCTAAACTCTAGGCCTTAATCATTAGACTGGGGTCTACCGGAAGATGATATTTCACATGGCTTTTCAAGGCACATATCAGGGGAAACTGCTAACAATCATTCAAGCCTCTATATACTCAAGGCTCTCAACAGCGGTATGTCCACAAGGTGTTGAGGCTGCGTACTGCACAGCCTGTTTTGGCTTTGTGCGGAGCCTTAAACGAGACCTTTTGATGCTTTACAACCCGCTGTCCTGAGTATAGAACGCACAGGGACAGAAGACAACACAAATACTAACAAGTGAAGGAAACCTTCCATAAGCGTCCCACGATGCAGAGCAAGGACATCTTCTCTGTTCCCGGTGCCCTCTCGCTTTTGAGTTTAGGGTTCAGGGTCTACGCTTAAGGATGAGGCTTCAGTTTCACACAGGCCTCAGACCTGAAAAGCTCTCACATAGACGCCTGGGTGTGCGACTAAGCACTGCAGACGACGAACTCTCTTAAAGTGAGATGCTAAGTCAACTCCGTTTATCTCCGTTGCGACCAAGAGTTGCAGCTTCGATTTCTCAACCCTAATTAGATATGGGGGGTTGCCGAAAATAGGAGACCCTAATATAGTACCCTAAACGGTAGGATCCTTACTATAAGGACCCCAAAATAATGTACCCGAATTTTCGGAAAGTCCCATATCATCAGACCCAAGCACTACACCCTGCTTTCGACCATTGCGTGCCAGGATCAAGGAGGCATTATCCTCCTCGAAGTTTGTGCGCTGTTGCGCACGGATGGCGTTCGCCTTGTCCACCGTCGCCTGCCCAGGATAATATGGGCCTTAATGATTAGGGTTTAGGGTTTCGGGGTTTTGGGGTTTGGGGGTAATTGCATGTAGATGGAACAATTGGTTAAGAGCTTAATCCGGAAATCTTCGTGAACATGAGTCCGAGCCCTATAGTAGGCGCTGTCTGGGGCATGAACCTTGGGTTTTCGGGGAATCGACTGGCGCAAATGGCTCCGGGCTGCCATGATGTCGGGGGGCGCGATACTGAATTGGGGGTTTGGGTTTATTAGAATCAAATAATATAGGCGCTGCAGGGGGATACTCTTCATAACCATTCCGCCCCCATATTCCTGCACAGCAACGATTGCAAAAGGAGCTGCCGCCCTACAGAAATAATTGGTAGGCTATGACCGCATATTATGCAGGTTACAACGCCATAAACCTTCAAGTCCTCTCAGCAGCGTTTAAGGTCCACAGGTAAAATGCCAAAGCTTCAAGTCCAATCCAGAAATCTTTTTGAGATTGCCAGGCCGGCGTTCCTTGCTTCACTGTCGCGAGGATCAACAACAGTGGATGCTAAACCGCCAAACCAGATAAATCGAAGGTCAGGCGGTGAGGACCGAAACTCGGTCAGAAACACTCAATGCACACCGGCTTGCTGACTACAGAAGACTGCAGAATGGTGCAGCCCACCGGCTGCAAGACACCCTAAGCCCTCTAAACTCCTCGACCCTAAACCCCACCTATTTGTCGGTAGGTTCGTATCATATACCCGCCCGAGCATTGAAATTGAAGGGACCCTAAAAACTGGGTTTGGTAAGCTAAAAACTGCTAAAAACCCCGAACCCTTGATGTCGGCCTTGTTGCTGTTCAGATCCTGGGTGGAAGTGCGAATCTGCGTGGAGAGCATGTCGATTTTTGGAGGCAACTCCTTCCAAGACGCATGCATACCAGGCAACCATTTTGGTTTTCTATGGGACTGAGGGTCTATTGAGTTTTTAGGGTTTAGGAAAATGAGGCATCCTGAAATTCTAGCCGGCTTGTAGAAGGGGTATAGAGGGGCTTCTGTCAGCTTGTGCATGGGTTTGGAGTTTGGAATGTAGGCTTGGTCATTGGATGCTGGTTCGCCTACGATCCTAAACCCTAAACCCTTCATACATAAGGATTGCGAAATGCTCCGGCCTGGCCCCACAGAAGAGCATGGAAGCCCGAGCCCAAAGGACGGCTTTCTTGTGACCAAAGTCAGCAAGGTGATGAACAGAGGTGGCTCTTCGGAAGTAGGGATGCACACTAGCTTCTGCAGTGATGGTGGTCTCATCAACATTAGGCTTACCGGCTGAGTTCATAAGCACAAAAGAGGTGTACACTTTCAGTTCTATAAGGGATTATATTATCCCAGAAAACTTTAAAGAGTACGCATTGAGCTACTAAGAAAGAATTCCCAACATCTTCGCCCGCCTCGACCGTGGCTTTCAGGCCCGTCAGCTTGTCCTGATGTCGCGGGCCATGCCACGGGGACTCCCAAAAAGATGTAACTCGACACCCTCCGACCCTGTCCCTAAACCCTGAAACCCGGAACAGCTAACCTCCCTTCACCTTATGTAACCCCAAGGCCCTAAGAACTCGTATTCTAAGGCCTTTGGGCCCAAAGACCATACTGGCTTTTGGGCTGTTTTGAGCCTTAAGGTCAAAATTCAAGCCCTGAAACCCGCAACAAACCCTGAACCCTAACCTTCAGCCTATGGTAAAAAGTTCAAAAGCCCTGAGACCTGCAGCCCTCCAGCCATGGGAGGCTCTAGCCATGGTAAGGCATGGGTTGAAGAGATCGCCCTCAACCCTAAACCCTCAACCCTAAACCCCTAAGCCCCTAAACCCTAAACCCTGAACCTTAAACCCCTAAACCCCTAAAGAGGCACTAAAGCCTGAACCCCAGAGCCTCCCGGGCTCAGTACCCGACCATACATTGCATCGAGGACCCCCTTTTTTTTATAGACGCGAAATCCCCCCAAAACCAACCCTAAACCCTTTTTTGAGCCTTTAACCCCTACACCCCTATAAACCCGAAGCCAAAAAAAACAAAAAGAACCCGAAGTACCAAAAGAGCTCGGCTCCTGGACCTCAAGTAAGTTTGGGGCTTGAGGGTTTAGGGGTGTTTAAGGGTTTAGGGCTTAATAAGGGTTTTGTGTTTAGGGCTTCGCCCAGGGAAGGAAAGCTGCGGCTTGTCGGGCTGAAGGTGCTGTCAAGCGCTGGGAGTGACGGCGAGGGGAGAGGGTTTAGGGTTTAGGGTTTAAGGTTTAGTATAGCAGACAATGAGCCTTAAACCCTGAGCCCTCAACCCTAAACCCAACCCCCCAGCCTGCAATGCATCGGGAATCCGGATACCTTCGTCTTTTCAATAAACCGTTCACCGATCTCGAAGCTACAGTTCTAGACCATAACTCCTTAACTTCCTTAACCATAGACCCACGACGACTCCCAATCCACGAACTAAACCTAATCTAGGAGCCTGATTAGTTCGAGTTGGGTTTTGGGGTAACTTCAAAAGTGCCTGCCCGATACCTGCAGCGCACATCTGCAGACACAATGAACTAAGAATTGCAACCTTAAGCCGCCCTATTAAATCCTAACCCCCTTGTCAAAAAAGTATCACACAAACCATCGCAGCAAACGCGTGTTGACTAAACCCCACACCCTAAACTTAGTTTGCTAAGTTCATAAGCACTTAAAAAGTGCACACTTCGAGTTCTATAACTGGCCATATTATCCCAAAAGTTTGAAGTGTAGTAATTCAGCGACTAAGGAAACCGTACCCTAACGGCCTATAACGCCTAAGCCCCAAGGGGCAGTCCTGGGCCGCCGATGCCGAGGCTGCCTTGTCATCCTGGTTGGTCTTGCACCAGCAATCCATCTTCTCCTGCGTCGATTTAGGACGTACGGTTGATGCTATAAATCCTGCATTACCACTAATAAGGAAGATATGCTATAATTCCCATAGTTTAGGGTTCTTAAGGTAATGCAGGATTTATATCATCAACAGTAGGTCTTCGGTTAAGGGCTTAAGGATTTTCTTGCTTGAATTCGAACTCAGAAAGCCGGAATCCTCGGCCTAATGACTCTCCAGGTGCTCGACTCGGACCGGTTTTTTGTCTTCCTCAAACCTTACATGCTGGACCCTAATGTTCCCTGCAACCCTCTGCCTTCATGTCTTCATGAATGCTCCCGTCCTTCTGTCTGTCTGTCTCTCTCTCTCTCTCTCTCTCTCCTTCTGTCTCTCCCGCGGATGCAGAGGTCTATCAGCCGCGATTGAGGTAAAACCATAAAGCCCAAAATCCCGTCTCCTTCATGTCTTCATCCGCCTTCTGGTCTTCCTCCAACTTCTTTGACATCGTCTCAAGCAGAGCCTCAACAGCTCGCTGTCCCACGACAGAGAGTACCATATAACTATGCGGCCGAGTGTCCAGGGTCTACGGATGGATGATGTTAACGGTTCAGGGTTTATTTTTTAGGGTTTAGGGTTTACGGCTCATGTTCTAACTGTAGGTCTTCCTGTGAAGCCCTGTCAAGAACGAGGTTTGGTCGCACCGGCGACTCTTGGTTCTTAGAGTTGCCAACAAGCGTCCTTAATTAGAGAACCGCTCACACCCTGAACCCTTCTAAACTTCTAAACCCCACACCCTAAACTCACAACCTTACGTCCCCTCCAACATCAGCCTGGTGGCGACAACTTTGCCCACGGGCTTCCCGCCATCCGCGACGTCCAAGGAAAGCGAAAAGGCCCGGATGCCAACGAGGGACCAGGCCATCAGAAGTCCGGTCCTGGTTTAAGGTTGGGGCTCGGGTATTGGGAGTATTCAATATCCTAAACCCCAAACCCTAAACCCTAAACCCCCCAAACCCTAAACCTCAGGGGTCCAGGGTCCAAACTACCCCTTTTGTAGGGTCTGGACCTTTGAGGTCTCAGCTGTCTGTCTCTTCATCTGTCTTGGAACACCAGGTAACGTAGTAAGGGGGGTCTACGCAGCTAGGTCCACGTAGTGACCCTACATAGTACGTCTGGTCCTACTCATAGCAACTTGAAGTTAGGGTGGAAATTGCGGACGACCCCCCTGACACTGAAAACCGAAATTGTTTTTTGACCCAAACCCAATGCAAGAGCCCGAGGACTTGTACATTATTGGTGTTGTACTTTGTGTTCGTGGTTATCTTCCGATCTTTGACACTCCAACTGGAAGTCCAACAGACTGCAGCGATGGTAGCACGAAAGCTACAGAAGAGTTTAGTGCTATTCAGCTGTTCATTATGAGTGATTTCGAGTTGGGTCCCCAGGACTACCACCACCTGGCAACACAAACCCTAAACAGCAAAATTTACATGTATAAGTATGGAGTTACATGTGTGTATATATATAAATAAATAAATAAACATATATTATTATAACCACACACACATATATATATACATACATACATGTGTATATATATATATATACAGGCCTACAAAAAGTAGGTCTTGGTGTAGGTCAAAGTAGGATCCTTTTTCGGCTTAGGGTGCTGCAGGCTCAGGGTCGCAGTCTTCGCCTCGAAGCTCGAAGCTGAAACCCAGAGAGACAAACAGCCGCTTTAGGGTTCTATAAGGGTTTTAACATTTTAGAAGGTATCATGGGTTCTATGGTTCTAGAACTGTTTAGGGTTCTATAAGTCTAGAAGGGTTTTAATATTCTAGAAGGTATCATGGGTTCTATGGCTCTATAAGGGTTTTGGTAGTCTAGAAGGTATCATGGGTTCTATGGTTCCAGAACTGTTTAGGGTTCTATAAGTCCAGAAGGGTTTTAACATTTTAGAGGGCATCATGGGTTCTATGGTTCTAGAACTGTTTAGGGTTCTATAAGTCTAAAAGGGTTTTAACAGTCTAGAAGGGTTCTTGGGTTCTAGGGTTCTAGAACTGTTCTATAAGCGTTCTAGCAGAGTTCTACATTTCATATTTTGCGGTTTAGGGTCAAGGACCAAAACCTACTTGTTGTAGGGCCCCTTTGAGATTCTGTATTAGGCTTTCTTAGCAGAACCTACCAAAAAGTAGGCTATAGTGGCTTAAGGCAAATCATACCCCAAGGGTCACTGCACCTACACGAAGCTTTATTCCACTGTGTTACACCTTAAACGGGTCCTATATATGTACTTTCTGAGCCAATGCAAATGCGAGATGGGTATATGGGCCCTTCAACATTCGGTACCCTTAGTAGAGGCCTTAAGAGAACCTCTTAAAGGGATATGTGACATCCTTGCCGAGGATCAAGGAGCGCATCATGGCAGGGGAGGCGATGCGGCAAGCTTCAATGTCCCGAGTTTCGGGGGCGGGAAAGCTTAAGCCAAGATCCACGAGCGATTCAGGACTATGCAGGCCCAGACTAGCAATAGTCATCGTCAGAGCAAGAAATGGACTGGAAGGGTCGAGGGTATGGGGGTTTGGGAGGATCTTACGACTCACATCGTTTTTTTTGCTGATCGGGGTGGCCTGGTTTACTTGATTGTACTTTCTGTTCTCACCTCTGCACCGCTACTGTTTAAGCTGACCATCATATCATTGCGTACACACACCAGCAGCGATAGCACCAGCATCAGCAGCTGCGTTAGCAGCCGCATCAGCATCATGAACCATGATGCTATGCTTCGCCTTTGCCCTTACCATCAACAGCAAACGCCGCTCTGATTATCAGGCTATCAGCTTCATAATGACGAATATATATAAAGCTCGATTGCAGTGTAGCTTTCATCGCCTTCACTCTTATGGCCGCATAACAGTGTATCATTGTATCTCGTCTTCTTTACACTCCTGTTCGCGATTAGTATCTCGCTTTCTGCTAGTGTGCCGGGTCCTGGCTTTTAACCTTGATATCAAGTGGCAACGCAACCCAAACACTGCCAGGCCATCGTGTTTTTGCTTCGCATCCCAGGAAATGTACTGAACATGTTGGTGACGGTTCGTGACCCCCCCCAAAAAAAAATAATCCTACACCCAACCACCCTTTCAAAAACACAAACCAACAAATGCAGTCCAATTGTTTCGACCTCTTCAGCAGACTACTCCCCTCGGCCGAGTCGGGGCATATTCAGGCGATGTAGGTTCGGGTGATGTAGGGACCTTTATAATCCTTACTAATTAGAATAAGGTTTTGGGAGAGTATTATATTGTAGTATAGTTATCGCAAGGAAACCAAGGGAATGATATTCATGAGCGGTTAGGGTTTAGGGTATAGGTTCAGCTTGGTGGGTGCACTGAGCATGCATGCCTCTTGCCTGCTTCATCTGCAGGCGCATGGCGAGGTCACGATCAACCTTGACGTGCCGACGCACCATGTAGTCCGTTGGCATGTCATAGGCCGCCTGATCACGGGGGCCCATGTCTAAACCTGCCCTGAGCCCTTAACCCTAAACCTAAACTTGCCCCACAGACGTCAAACTCAAACGCAAGGCATACGCGCACTTAAAGGCGGTGGAACTGAAGAGCTTAGTCTGCAATTGCTTAGGGCTTTACTAACCCATACTCAGAAGCCTCGGCCTAGACTGCCCGCTTTTGCCCCAAAGCCAAGACCAAGGCCTGAATGAACCGGGCTAGGTTCTTGGAGATCTTCATACGATATAGTAAACCGAAAACCCCTGAACCCTAAACCCTAAACCCTATTGATAATAGGGAGGCCTACAGGGTTTACCGAAATAACCTCGAAACCCCACACTTCGCCTCTGCCGGCAATGAGACGTATTTCATGAGGCGCTGCAGGGCATTCAGCACGTTGAGCAGGTGCGTGAAGGTCATCGAACTCGGATTTCTAGGGCTCGTCCCTAAACCCTAAACCCTGGACCCTAAACCCTGAACCCTAAACCCGATCGGGTTCGGCAGTTCGGCTCTCAATGCCCAAAGAGCTCAGTACCTCTGCCTTTGGTGTGACTTGAGGTACAAAGGTGTAACTAAAGGATACCGGGCCGGGCTCGCTGGGTGGAGAATGTGTCAGAAGTCCAATCCTAGGCACTAAATACTTGAGAGCAACCTCCCTATCTATGTCTGTGCACCCCGGGAGAAAAGGCTGAAGCATCATGGGTTTAGGGTTTAGGTTTGGGGTTTTAGGGTTTAGGGTTTAGGGTTCATATATCATATACCCCAATACCCCATGCTACTTATTTAGGGCCCTCCTGGGAAAGCTTGCAGAACACCTGAGCTTCGGGGAGGACACATGGGTAGGTCTCCAGACTGGGCTGTCTTTTTGAAGTCCCCAAAATAGTACGGCACCCTTATCAAAAGGGCCCTAATTTAGAGAACTATCCACATATCTGGTCGACTGGAGGCGTCGAGCCTGAGGGCTGAAATCTTATGACCGCTCCGGGTTCAGGCGCATATAGGGTTCAGAGTTTAGGGTTTAGGGTTCAGGCGTTTAGGGTTTGTAAGGCTTTATAGGGTCAAAAGATGTTAAGAGTCTACAGGTTCAGGGTATAGGGATTTAAGGCTAGGGACGGAAAGCTTTGACAGCCTTTTTGTGCTCGCAGTAGCTTTCCAAGATATTCCGTGGTGTGTGGGCGGGATGCACCGGGGGTCCACAGGACCCAACAGATAGGTAGTTGGGTCGCTAGGGTAGCGTATGTCATCTTCTTGGGGGGGGGGGGGTATGAATATTTATAAAGAGTTAGTTGGGCCCTGAAACCCTCAACGAAAACCCCTAAATCCTAACCCGCATGGACAAACTCGAGAGCCATAGGAAAGGGGCCTGAATGATTAGAATAGGGTTTTTTTGGGCATAGTGTACGATAGCTAGGTTTCGACGAAGAAACCCTCAGGAACAGTGTTCCTAGTCTAGGTTCGAGATGTAGGACTCCAGAATTGCAATCCGGAGGAGCTGCGGACTCCGGACTAGTGCGAAAGCCCACAACATCGGGCTTGGGAGCTAGAAGCCCTGAGTACGTAGAATCGCTGTATTCTTGGCAATGGCATACATGATGCAAGTTCTTGGGCCCTAATACTCAGTTAAGGGAAACTACAGGTGGGGAGTTTAGGGTATATAGAGCTTCCATAAGGCTTCTATAAGGTATAATATAGACCTTCTATAAGGCAGGGACCCACCATTGTCCCGAAGACTTTCCTGCTCTTTGAGAGCAATCTCTCTCTCCTGAGCATTCGCATGCTTGGACCAGTCGATTGAGAAACCTTCTTCGGTCTTCTTCAGGACTCCGGGACTTCAGTGCTGCTTCCTGGTCCTTCTTCTGAAGGGACCTCACAGTCCATCTTTCTATTTCCTCGTCCGCTTGCTTTATAAGCGAATCCCGATTGGCCACGCTTCTTGCTGCCCTGCAGCTCCCTGTCAGTCTGCTGAATAACCCTTCTTCCACAGGCCGCATGAGGACCCCTGACAGTGCTCCCACCGTCGTGTTCGTGCTGATAGCTTTTGCATCTATCTTTGTTGTGTCCTTCAAAACCTTCTTCATTTAGTGAGTCAGTCCACGTGCAGCCTTCGACATTGGGTCTGAAACGCCCTTCGTCGAAACCTTCCTTAGTGAACGAGGAGCTGTGCCACCAGATGCTAAGAGCATGTGACTGGCTAAGCCTGTAACGGTAACCACCCACCTGAAAATGTCCTAGACTCAGAATAGGGTTCTGGGGCAGGGGGTGAGTGGGGTGGTTATGTGCGAACTCATGTCAATTATCTTCGCCAGGGATGTCGGTTTTCCTCCAAGGCAGCTCTGCTCAACTAGTAGACCCTAAACCCTAAACCCACCTAGTAGACCCTCAACCCTAAACCCTAAACGTAGCGTGGTTGGGAGCGATGCAAAGTACGGGACTCTCATATCTTCATAAGGAAGGACCATTGGGGGGCGGCTTGGTAAGCCTATCAGCCGTAGTGCTCAAACGCCTAAACAACACCCTAAACCCGAAGTTCTCCCGAAACATGGAACCCCAAAACCCTGGCACAGCTCAGGTCCGCGCATTCCCTCAAACTGGGCCATCTGGAAGAAGCAAAAGCCCACGCAGGTTGCCAGTGTGCCCAGAGGCACTCCCGCCCAGAGCCCACCAATGGCAAGGATGGCGGTAAGCGCGCCGAAGCACAAGAAGACCTTGCTGAGTTTAAGGTTCGGGGGCTGGCGACTCAAGTGTCTGTGCTTGGGCCCTGGAGCTACAAGACCTCGCAACTCTAGCCTTAACCCCAAGAGCTAAATCTCAGCACCCTGAGGTGCAAACCCGAACCCTACCGCCCTGAACTCTAAACCCAAAGCCCTTGCAATACACCCAACTCTCGCGCCCAAAGGCCCAACCTCGAGTGGAACTCTATGCAGTACTTCACCCTAGGGTAGGGGCCCATGTGCCCAAAAAGTATATACTTTGGCCCCAAGTACCTAGAAAGCGGTTACAAAAAGGCCAAAGTATATAATACTATTTGGGTACAGGGACCATTAAACTCTAAAACTTTACAGAGCCCTTAGAGATGCCTTTGAGGAGCCCTAGAAGGGACTTTTTTTACGGACTGGCCCAGAAAAAAGAACATGTATGCCAGGCCTCGTGGCTATGACCCAAAGCCTATCCGGATCGTCTGCCAACTCTGGCTTCGTCTTCAGACTAGGGGCTTTGAGGGCTTAGGGTTTCTTCATACTAGGCTTTACGCTCTCACTCATACTAGGCTGTAGGGTTTAGGGTTCCCTAAACAATACAATACAATCCTAAAAAGGGCTTACCTTAACCCCAAAGACCCTACCTTTTCAAGGACTTATATAGTAAAACCATAATAAGGAACCCTAAAAAGGGTAGGTTCTTTGGGGTCCAGGTAGATCTTTGGGGTGACCGAAGCCAGGGCCGAGGTTCCGAAAGCATCCCCCCAAAGGAACGATTTCAACCATTTTCTCCGCTCTTTTTTACCGGCGTCAGAAGGGAGAAGTACAGACTCAGATCGTCATGAAACAGGCTTAGGTTTTGGGGTCAAGTTTAGGATTTATAGGGATAAGGCTTAGAGTTTAGGATATCTCTGACACCCGCAGGCGATGGCTTCGCATCCTGAATCTGAGAGACTTCGATCACCGTCTTGGTGATGTCGGTGGGTACAGTTCACGGAGCTGCCCCGGGTCGATTCCGCGAAGATCGAGCTGTAAACGTCCACGATTGCGCGGATGGACCTCGCACGGGATAGCACGCTCATCCAACAATCTGCGGACCGAAACCTGGACGTCTGAGCCAGCAGGTTGCCAGGGCATGCGGGATTTCCCCCAGCCTGTGATGACTTCGAACGACATCGAGTCGTGTCTGAGCGTTCGGGTAAGCTGCTTCGGGACAAC